TCCTAACGCGCTAACCGCTAACGCTAACCCTAAACCCTAACCTACCCTAACACCCTAACCCTAACCCTGAATCCTGAAACCCTAATCCTAACACTAGTGGCTGCCACATTTGGCGGTACTGGTCCCTCGATCGCCGTCGGGGGATATGCATTCCCGTAAGTAACGCTGGCACCCGGCACTTGCGCCAGTCCACACGCAGCACAAACGCGCAGCGCAGCGATCACACGCGCGGCGTGGGCGCGAGCGACTACTACAGCTCGAGCCAGGCAGACAGAGAAACAGAAGAAATATATATATACGGTAGTAGGTCTCGTGGGGGATACAGTGATCCGATAGATGGTGGCTTAATTCGAAAGCGGCGAACTCGCATCTTTTTACTGGAGGCGGCCAGCCAATCCAATGGTATATCAGTTACCTAATTAGCTCCTTTCTTGCGCTATATAATATATACAGCACAGCACCAACAGCACATATATATATATATATATATTACGTATATATATATATTAATAATATATATATATATATATATATATATATAGTACTCGACTTTCGTCTCTGGCCTTTTTGCTCCACTTACCTTACTCCACTCTCGCGATAGTTTTCGTCAGCGGCAAACTCGCCTCGCGCGAGTGAAAAGTTTGCCAGCCAATGGCCGTGGTTTCAGCAGAAACTTTTTCACTCCCCAATGCGAACAAAATTTGAAATTTACGCGCTATAGATTACACGTGCACAACGTGCGTGCAATCATACCCGCGGTGCGCTGGCTCGCGCCCCGGAGCCTCGCGCGTGTGTATTAGTTGTTGTTTGTGTCAGTGTAAAAAACGGCGTATTATAGCCGTATGATCGACATTTTTGTGAACTTTGGGGATGAAAAAGTTGAGGCTGAAAACTCAGCGCCATTTGTCTGTCTAAACTTTTCAACGGGTGCACCCGTGGCCGTGGCGGCGATACTATCCGCGAGAGGGGGAGGAAAATACTACTGAAGGGGATAGGGAGTGAGAAGGAGAAATGAGGATTGACGGGGGAGGGGAGGAATGCACACGCGATTCCCGTAGCGCAGTTACACGCCAGATAAAACGCACGTAACGGCACAGAACGGAGCACACACACAGACACGGATGCAACAAATTCCTTCTATATAGTTACTTCTCTTGGCCTTATTGGTCACCCTCTCCCTCTCGCCCGTGACTCCACTTCTCTCTCTCTCTCATCTCGTGTCTCTCTCTCTCTCCCGTCCTCTCTCTCTTTCACGAGGGCAGGTCGCTCTCTCTCTCACGAGCTCTGCTCTCTCGCAATGATTTCTCTTTCACGCACAGCACGCAACGCACAGGCAAGGCGCACGCACGGCACGCACACACGCACACACACGCACACCATATACACACTTTCTCGGCTCTCTCTTTCTGCACTCTCGTGTGTGTGTGTAAATATATACTCTCTCTCGGCAATATTTCTCTTTACCTCACGCACGGCAGCACGCAGGCACGGACGCTGGGCACACCGCATCACGCACACAACGCAGCGCACCAGCATTGCCATATCATAATAGCACACTCTCTCGCTCTCGCTCGATCTTCTCTCTCTCTCCTCTCGTCTCTCTCTTCTCTCTCTCTCTCTATCTCTTCTTCTCTTCGTATTCTGGCTCTCTCTCCCCGCGCGTCTCTCTCTGTCTCTCTCTCTCTCGTCTCTAGCTAATTTCTATCAGAGCTCTTTCTTGGCACCTATATAATATAATAATATATATATATATCCATATATATCAGGAGTCTATCAATATTGATCAATATTGATATTATATATCAATATTATATATCATATATCATATATTATATATCATATATATCAATATTATATATCATATGATATATATATCAAGATTGAGGAGTCTATCAATATTGATAGACTCCTGTATATATGTATATATATATATGTACTCGCTTTTTTCCTCCGTCTTTTTGCTCAAGCTTGCCTTACTCCCCTCGTCGCGGATTAGTTTCGTCACGCATCGCTCGCGGCAGTGAAAGTTTGCACAGCTACAAACTTTTCAGCTCCACGAAGGCACAAAATCTGAATTTAACGGCCCTATCATACACGCGGCACGCGTGCATGCCAACCATATCGCCGCCGTGTTCGCGCATTCGTCGCCAGCGTGTGTAGTGTGTTTGGTTGTCAGTGTAAAAACGCGTATTATAGCCGTATATCGATATTTTGTGCTTTTGGGGGATGAAAATTGAACCATTTGTCTGGCTAACTTTTCACCGTGCAACTCGTGCCGTGGGCGATACCTATCGCGCGAGAGGGAGACGCGGAAATTACTGAGGAAGGGAGTGAAAGGGGAGGAGGAAGGAAAGAGGAGAGAAATAAGGGAGGGACGTGCGGGAGGGAGGAATGCAGAGGAGATCGCACCGGCATGCGCAGTTACACCGCGCCAGAATAAACGGGCACTAACGGCACATGAACGGCACAGGACACCACAGACACGGATGACACAAATTCCTTCTATATAGTTACTTCTCTTACACTTATCGGTCACTCTCATTCTCTCTTCTCCTCTCATCTCTCTCTTCTCTACTCCTCTCTCTCTCTCGTCTCTCTCTCTCCTTCTCTCTCCCTCTCTCTGCTTCTTCTCTTCACTCCTCGTCCTCTCTCTCTCTCTTCTCTCTCTTCTCCTCTCTCTCCTCCTCCTCTCTCTCTCCTCTGGCTCGGCCCTCTCTCTGTTGTTCCTACTCTCTGCCGCGACTCTCTCTTCTCATCCGCTCAGTCGTCCTCTCGCTCTCGTCTCTCTCTCTCTGCTCTCTCTCAACTCTGCGCTCCGGTCTCTCTGCTCTCTGCTCTCATCCTCTCTCCCTCTCCTCTCCTCTCTCCTCTCTCTCTACTCTCTCGTCTCGGTCATCTCTCTCCTCGCCTCTCCCTTCGATCTCTCACCTCACGTCCTCCTCTCTCTCTATATATAAGATACTTATGATAATTGGACATTTTTTTGTACGATAATAATTTATATCTATATATGCGGACGTACTCACATGAAGAAGTCATCAAAAGCAAGATTGTATCAGAAATAATCAATTTAATTATCACCAGATATATCATATAACTCACTACTTAAATATGTTACAGACTTACTAACAAGAAATTATCCATACCAATTCCAATTTCGTTGAGAGTCGTAACTAATAAATCACATTGACAGTGTGATATATTGAACTAGTTACTAGTATGATTCATATATGAATAATATTACAATAATATTAGGTACACAGTATGAGCCATAGGTAAACCATGGTATAAAAAGCCCAATTATAGCTACAGCAAGGAAAGATTAAGAGAGTAATAATAACTTCGTCACAGAAGAAAGAAATTTGGTTAACATACTGAGGAATGTCAATGTTTGAATGCATCAGATCAGGAGTCTATCAATATTGATCGTATCAATATCGTATGAAAATTGATCGTATCAATATTGAGTCGTATCAATATTGATAGACTCCTGATCAGATGGGGAATGAATTCTATGCTTGACAGTGTAGAGCTGCATAACTTAACAAATGTAAAATTTACATTGGTCCAACACATAAGACGATCCCATATATGATCCCCAAAAATAATATATAAGTGTATATTAATTCGTGTATATATATATATATATACGAGAACAATGTCGAATGGCGAATTTCACAACCTGTAGACACTAAGTCATAAAACTGCAGGCCTTCTATTATATGGATGCAGACAAAGTTTGCTTAGGCCAACAACAATATACAGGCACAGATCATTGCCTATCAGAGCCCAACTCTATCACTGGAACTCCTGTCTGCTTACAATCATGAGGTGCACAACCTCCATATACTGAATGGTATTGTCCATTTAGCGATTAAAAAGGACATTTTCCTTCTACAAAAAAAAACACCGAAGCTAAATTTTAATGAAATTCTTAACGTTTAAAGGTGCAACTACAGACTACAACAGTGTATAACAACAATACAAAAGCCCCAACATGCGTTCTACAATATACATGTATTCAAGCAAAATGATAGTGTACGGGGTTGGGGGGCTCTAGTGCCAGTGAAACTGTTGCACATCTCACAAACCACCAGTGCTACGTGGACGTTTTGTTACATTTTTGTGCGTGGTGAGAAGGAATGTACACTGCACTGGTTTAGTTTCGCGAAACCCATACAGACAGCATGAATACAAAGTTTCAGTGCGCAAAGACCGCTTTTTGACATTTAAAAAAAAAGACATCACAGATTCTCACAACCGTTGTTTTATATAGAAAACCCTATAGGTAACCAGGTAAACCACAACCAGATAATTATAATCTCTCCCTAAACAACCACCAGGTAGAGCTGTGAGAAACACGCACTTTTGCCGCGTGAATATCGTACACATCACACTCTGTCTGCCTTCAAATCTGACATCTGGTCTCCCTTGCCATCCTTATCCTTAGATTTCCTGTGAAACCATCCTCGGAAAACGCTCTTGTGTTTTTTCTTGTCACCCTCGACAGAACTCTCTAGGGAAACACTTGAGACTGGACGTTCAGTTGTTGCATATCTATCGACGTCGCCTTGTCGTGGAGGAGCGCCACCTACTGGAAGTGTTGACGATCGCCATTGCGGCTTAGATGTGTCCTAAAAGTAGGAAAGACAGGAAGTTAATAGACATGAAAACTGCTCGCACTATTACTACTGGCAACATTATTTACACACACCATTGCTTCTATCTCTTACTAACTGCATAATATAGCTACACACAAAAGACATGGCTAAATCGTTTAGAACCTTCATGCTTTTGCTCGATTAAACTTTTTAAAATTTAAATTTAAAATGCTTAACATTTTATTTTCAAGTTGCTCAATTTATCTCAAAGGTGATTGCTTTCTACTCTAAATGAGTGAATTATGAGATTTGAGGGTCAAACGAAAAACCACTCTCACCTGAACAGTGTGGTCGCGGTCTCCATTGACAGCACCTTCATATCCCGGAGGCGGCGGCACTACTGTAGAAGAAACAGCAAGCAAGACACGGATTATTAGCATTTACAGTGTCTCTCCATCTCTTCATTAACAAGTTAGTCTTTCTCTCCTCTCCATGCCAGTCTCTCTCCCTTCTCCCTAGTGGCACAGTCTTCACCCCACCTCCCCCCCCTTCTTCTCGCCATATAAGTATTTACAGTACTTCTCTTCATCCCCCTCTCCCTATTCATCTCATGTCTCTCTCTCCCCCCTCCCTCTCTCCCCACCTCTCATGTGCCTGTAGACGCGCGCACACACACACGCACGCACGCACGTACGCACGCACGCACGCACATAATGAAAACCTCGAATTATTTACTCCTGATATACGTAAACGTAGATCATCACCAGAAACACGTTAATTCACGTCATCATTCAAAGTAGATTTCACTGAACATAAAGATAAGCACGCGGAATATGCGAAATACGATAACCACGAAATGCTTCACACAATACACATGCTCTACTAAACCAAAACAAGTACAGGCACGGAACAAGCAACAGGCTACCATATACGAAGCACAACACAAAACCAGGCATCAGCAACACGTAATAACACCAATAGCATACGAACCCGTATTGCTGTCTGGCCATTCGTCATCCTCGTAGCCCTTTGGAGGGGCTGGAGGTGGGAGATTTGGTGGGAGGGGCGGGGGAACTGCAGCAAAAAACAGACGTGCAGCAGGCAATTAGCACGTGCACTCGCATACAGACATGCAAAGCAAAAATGTGGCGAAATCGAAGCTACGACACCGAAAACCAGGGCTGAAGACATAGCCTTGTGATTGTGATCGTAGTTCTACCGGTGTAGACCCTTTGTACCAGCTACAGGACTTCACTCCCTGTAGCCGCCGCGAAGGGCTTACACCGGTAGAGCTAGGAGAGGAAGAGCGTCGTAGATACGATGACGTCACTCACTATAGCAGAGGTGCTCCCTAGCTCTACCGGTGTAGCCCCCTTCGCTCCTGCTACAGAAATTTACTCCCTGCTACACCGGCTAGACTTACAGAGGCTACGCCGGTAGAGCTATCGTGATCGGAGCCCAACCACTTCTAACATTACTCCATGCTCGAGAAGTGTCAAGCTCACACTACGTTTGTTCGCTCTTACAAACGAACAAGAGCGAAAAAACGTAGCTGCAGCCACATTCGCCTAATATTGGGAAAGGTGCGTGACCACTAGCACTAGCATGGCTAAACTGTGTGCTTGCACGCTGTATGCCCAACTATACGACTCCTACTTACCACCGAACTCAACCACAAGATATCTATAAGCATTGCAAAAACAACAGCCACAGTAATTTCACACGAAGGTTTCGAAACGCCTACAACGGGATAACATCATTAGCACCATGTGAATCAGGAGTAGATAATAGAGAACTACCCCCCCCACTTATTCCCTATTATCTACTTCTGATGCGAATGTAAGACAACCTCAACCATTACACCATCTAGCAAACAAGTCACTGGAAATAATTACGTGACAATACTGCTGAAGCGAACCATTCACCAACTACCACCTCATGCACCCAAGATGACAAGACCAGTGAAATCGGACCTAACTTTTACGTTATAAGCTGCAGCTATTTCCAGATGTAGGAAAGCACAGGTTATACAAACTTTAGGGCCAATTTTACTGGTCTATAATATGGTCTGCAAGAAAGATGCATGTATACAAGCAGGACCAAGGCATTCTAACATAATATATATATATGTATATACAATCAAACCTGCATATAACAGCCACTTGGGAAATGCAACAATCCTCTTAATGGTCACATGGCTGTTCTACAGAGGTCGTTTCACCGTACGACTGTCACCCCAGAGAACCCCCAACAGTAGCCATTATCGACACGTGGCCTTTCTACAGAGGTGGCTGCTATTGCAGGGATGACCGTGTATACGTTATACAGGTATAATATCAGACGACGAAGCGAGCGGACGTCGACGCCACGTGACGACTTACTTTCAGGTCGCGACGATCGTCGCCCAGGCGAGATCTGGGGATGAAGAAAGAGGGTGATAAAGAGAGGAGAGAGAGAGAGAGAGCAGCAGAGAGAGAGAGAGAGAGAGAGAGATAGAGGAGAGGGGTCAAGAGAGAAAGAGGGGTAGAGAAGGGGAAGAGAGAGAGAGAGAAGAGAGAGAGCAGAGGAGCGAGAGAAGAGAGAGAATAGACGTGAAGAGAGAGAGAAGAGGACGAGAGAGAGAGAGAGAGAGAGAAAGAGATAGAGTGAGAGGGATGAGAGAGAAAAGTAGGGGTGAGAGGAGGAGCAAGAGAAGACAGGAGAGAGAGAGAGAGAGAGAGAGAGAGATAGAGTGAGAGAGAGAGAGAGAGTTGAGAGACGAGAAGAACAGAGATAGGAGTGAATGAGGGATGAGAGAGAAAGAGGGGTGAGAGAGAGAGAGAGAGAGAGAGAGAGAGCAGGAGAGAGAGAGAGAGAGAGAGAGAGAAGAGAGAGAGAGATAGAGTGAGAGGGGTGAGAGAGAAAAGCAGGGGTGAGAGAGGGAGAGAGAGAGAGAGAGAGAGAGAGAGAGAGAGAGAGAGCGAGAGAGAAGGAAGATAGAGTGAAGAGAGAGAGAGAGAGAGAGAAGCAGAGAGAGAGAGCGTGAGAGGATGAGAGAAAAGAGGGGTGAGAGAGAGAGAGATAGAGTGACGAGGGTGAGAGAGAAAGAAGGGGTTGAGAGGAGGGAGAGAGAGAGAGAAGAGAGAGAGAGAGGAGAGAGAGACGAGGAGAGAAGAAAGAGAGAGTGAGAGAGAGAAGAGAGAGAAGATAGAGAGGAGAAGCCGAGACGAGAGAGAAGAGACGAGACGAGAGAAGAGAGAGAGAGAGACGAGAGAGACAGAGATGAGAGAGTAGAGAGAGAGGAGGAGAGCAGAGAGACGAGCATGAGACCGAGAGAGAGAGAGAGAAGAGAGAGAGGAGAGAGAGAAGAGAGAAGAGAGAGAGAGAGATGAGCAGACGAGAGAGGAGATGACGAAGAGAGGAGAAG